AAGTATGAAACACCTTCGACCCCTCAGGATGCATAGCTTGAGTACAGGAACTGACTGTATATAAAGTTTCCACACTTCACACCACCCATTTTCCTTTCAGAACAAAGAATGGACCGAAGATAGTTACCACACTCCAGACCTTTTGGTTTCCCATCACTCCAGGAACGGACTTTCGAAGTTAAGGCACGAAACCTATCAGTCAGTACAATTTACAGGACTGACTCTGTGAAGCGGAAACGCACGGCGAACATTGTAGTTTGTACCAGAGACTACAAGCTAATTCAACAGTCATATCACGTAACAAATTCGGAGCTGTGATTATAAACTCCAATCGCTAAAACTGGAATCCACGATGATGATGTAAGGCAGCATTTCGTACTGAAGTTTAAATTAGAAGATTATACTTAGATCGCTCTGTGTTCAGTGATTAAGATTGGCATTATCAACTTCGTTAGAAACTGTGTGTGTGTGTGAAAGAGAGAGAGAGAGAGAGAGAGAGAGAGAGAGAGAGAGAGAGAGAGAGAGAGAGAGAGAGAGAGAGAGAGAGAGAGAGAGAGATAGAAAGAGAGAAAGAGAGAGATCGTGTCCCCGATTACACCTGACCTTCTCTTGAACTTCCTTCGACCTTCTCGTCTCCCCCCCCCCCCCCCGTATCCACGCAAGGTGCCTTGAGCAGCACCCCCACCCCCGTATCCACGCAAGGCGCCTTGAGCACCCCCCCCCCCCCCGCGCCCAACGTCTCCCTCGTTCCTCGCAAAAGACGCCGTTTCTCTCATCTCGGTTCGCAGGTGAAGCTCTCACTTCTACCTCTCTCCTCCCCCCTATTCCTCCCAACAGCCCTCCTGGTAAGAGGCACGAATCCTGAAGCACCTGAAGCACCTGAAGCCCCCCCCCCCTCCTCCTCTTGCCGCATTCAAGTCCGCGTCTCTCGTGGTCTCTCGTCGCGTCCCCTTCGCCCGCGCTCGTCTCTCGGTTCTCTCGCCGTGAGGGATGGTATTATTGCTATAAATCGTTTCGTTATTTATGGGGCTGCGTTATAAATGGCCGGGAGAGTGGCCCGTTTGTCATTCATTATGAAGAGTGTCACGTTATGAATGGCGCCATTATCGTTGTAAAGCGTGACTTGCTCTTGCTAATGACATGCTGAGCAAGATACCTGCTCTGACGTTCATTCGGGGATTATCATTTATGAGAGAGAGAGAGTGTGTGCGTGCGTGTGTGTGTGTGTGTGTGTGTGTGTGTGTGTGCGTGCGTGTGTGTGTGTGTGTGCGTGTGTGTGTGTGTGTGTGTGTGTGTGTGTGTGTGTGTGTGTGTGTGTGTGTGTGTGTGTGTGAAGTCTTTACTTTCAAAACTTTGTGGTTGACTCAAGGAGAGACCAAGTGATACACATAATGTTTGTGTGTAAGCATACATACTCTATATACATTATCTATGCCCAAAGCATTTCGAAGAACTAAACTTCCTTAGAAGCCCTTAACAGTTTGTAGCAGTCGCAAGATTACACTATGAATAAATGTCAACCTTTATACGGACGACGCGAGTGAGGATTCACTTGATGTATGTGAGAAAAGTCTTTAACTAGGTTCGCCCAGTTTCCGGGTCTTTGTGTGTGTTTCTCTGCGCTCGGCGGGTCTGCTCTTATTAAACCTGTTCATAAATTCAAGAATCTCTGGGTGATCCAACGCGAAGCTGATCCAACGAGCCAAGTGCTGAAGCGAGTAAAAGTGAAATAATTATGGCGAAAAGGAAGTCTCAGCAATTTAATATGCACCGTTTACTTAGGGTTTGGGTAAAGTTTAGTGGATGGACAAAGTTTGGAATTTAAGAAAAGTCTTAGGGTCTCAAAGAATATACAACCAGTGCATCCGTTGTTTTGAAACTAACTTTTCAGTAAACCAATTCCATATTCAGGAAGTCGAAATGTTGTAAAGGGGGAATGTATTTTGTTGTATATTTCATAAAACATTTCTTACTGAGACTAGTAAAATTAATGATATTAAACAAACAAAAAATATATCAGGAACATAACTACATTATTCTCGGTGAACTCCGAGCCAGATTAGAATTTATTTTATTCTACAACTTTACAGAGATATTAAGAATTACGATGCGATAAACACTGATCTAAATTTTGCCTTTCGTTAAGGGAGGACAAGAATAATCTGTACATATTTTGTAGAATGTGGGTATGAATTCAATGGAACAATCTTCTTGGCAGTTTACGACAGGAAGGCGCTTGTAACGGGGTTCCTAACACGCGAAATCTCTACCGGAAGCTTGTAAGGATAAACATCATCTTGATAACAATGCTACTCTTACCGTTTTTCGTCTCGGGAACATCTATCAAAAACGGGTTTTCATCGTGTAGAAAAGGTATGTACGAGTATGAGTATCTTCACAGAGCAAGAGATTATTTGACTGGTTTCGTTATCTTCATAAGAAACACATGAACGCGGTTTTCCATCGATGCTCTTAGTCACTTATAATTACGTCAGTCGTA